CTCCGGGAATGCCGGCAGAAGTGAAAACTTAAGTATTAACGTTGTGCGTTTTAGATATTTTGGAATGGTTATGGAATAATTGAATTGCTAATTATCAGAATAAAAGTACCTTCTATCTTTTATGTGTGGAACACAACGCGCCGTACGCTCGGGTCTGGTTCTGGTCGGACGGCGAGCCACCCAGGCTCGCCGTCCGCAGGCCCGCGCTTACGGTGACCGGAGATCGTCTCACGATCTCCGACGCCCGGAGTGTCCTTCGCGATGGCTAGGTTGTGAGGAGGCAGCGCTTCACTGCCTCACGCGTCCCGCCTCCTCCTTAGCTAGCATGACTGCTTCGCAAAAGGAGGAGACAGCATCCCAGTCCCCCTCGCTCCGCATCATGGCCCGCACTAGGGCCGGACGCGAAAGGTCGCCATCGCCAATCCCGTCCCTGAGGGCAAGGCAGTGTTCAGTCCACGCAGGGCATTCCCCTACTGTGTGTTCCACGGAGTCCTTAGGGCGGCCCTCTAGTGATGACACCCTGGTGTTTCCTCCCACCCCATCAGACACAGGTACCTCCCGAAGCTCCCATGTCCGGTGAAGACCTATGTCAGGCGGTAGGTGAGGACGCCGTAGCGTCTCTCAAGCCACATCTCAAAGAGGGGACTTACCACTACAATGCAGCGAGCTCAGCCCTCGGTTGCGACAGTCGTTGCTGCCATTCCGTCGTAAGATCGCACCGGAGCTCTTCCCGCCACGCACTAATATGGCGCGACAGCGGAGTTTCACCCCGGCAACGTGCCTCCGCGCGCAGACAAAACACGCGTGCGAGCACCTTCGCCTCCAGATCCCACGGCGGTAACCCGGCAAGGAGGTTCGCCGCCTCCCCAGAGATTGTGCGGTATACGCGGATCATTCGGATCGCCATGACCCTCTGTGACGTGAGCAGCGCCCGAGCGGGCCGCCGCATCAGGTCCGGCACCCGCACGTAGGGGCGCCGTAGAGGGAAACGGACCACACGACCAAGAGAGGGGAATACTCCCTGTCCTACGCCACGCCAGCTGTGAATCCGTCTTACGAATTTTCAATCAGGGTCACGTGTCCTGACACGAGTTTAACATTTTTTACCCATTACAAATAAAAGTGTACAACGCCGCTAAAGAAGTTTTCACTTCAATAATTAACTTGTCATTAAGCACATTACCCACCTATATTAAAAACTCGGAACATATTGTTCTATAAGACCATATAATACCTTGTTTTGTTTCTTTATTTATAATTATAGGTAGACACTTTCTACGAAAATAATTCCTCAATTAAGCAATTAAGTTATTATATCTTTTACACGTGCCAGTACAACTGAAAGTCCTTTCGGGTCCTATTTTTAACAAAATGTTGCTATAGGTACCAACTGGAGGAAAAGATACAGTTTTATTCAGTAAAAGATAGCAATAACTACCTAATATTTGCAAGAAATCTATAAATAAGACAGTGTAAATATAGTATATCAATGTGGTTAGTAACAAATCGGTTCGCGTCAATCTATGAATCATAACAGAAGTTTGTAACACTTATATTGTTTACAAATTCAATCCTGGTTTGAGTAAGGCAATTCAAGGTTTTTCTGATAACAAAATTCTCAGTACCAGTACGGAGCCTGTTTGTCTAAGACTACTATGAAGTCTTTAAACACTGATTCCGGTTCAATAAAATAAAATCGTAAATTCCTGAAATTATACCATACTATCAAAACACTACAATCGTAAAATATTAAGAAATTACTACATAAAAATCTATCTATATATATATAAAAATGAATTTCCGTTCGTTTGTCTCGCTAAAACTTGAGAAGGGCTGAACCAACTAGGCCAAATTTTCTCTTGAAATGTTCGTAGGAGTACAGGGAAGGTTTAAAAAGTTAGAAAAAAAATTTTAGGCAGTATGAAGTTTACCAGGTCCACTAGTAACAAAATTAAATATTTTATTTCATTATTTAGACTTATCTAAAAAGGAGAAACAATTTTAATGTCTGAAGTTCGCGGTACGAACACGGACGGGCTATTACAGTGTCAAGGGTAGGCGACAGTGAGGTTTAGAACGGGGTTTTGGTCGCCCGTGTTAGAGGAAACAGGGGAACGATGGATGCTGTCCCGCAAATACTCGATTTAAATTTTAAGCTCAATTTATTATAAAACAGAAGATAAATAAAGATTATTTATTAATCAGACCTTGTGAAGAATTGTGTGTTAGATATAACATATTCTTTTCTAAGTGTGTTGGCTAATAAAAATTAAGTGAAATATCACACACTAAATAAAAGCACTTTTCGAAAAACTTTATTAAATTTATCACTTTAACTATTCTTAATGTTTAAATCAAACCCTTATTTTATTGCCGCGGAGGACTTAACGGGTTGCCGGGGCTCCGGCTCGAAGGGCAGAAGTAGGAACGGGGTGGTTTTAGTCAGTAAGAAAGAGTCTGACACTCTCTCCCGCCTCACCCAGGTGGGAGCAGTCATTCGATGATTTTCCCCCCTTAAAAAAACCCTTATTTTATTGGCATTAACAACATAACTGCTGACAAAGGATTTTACAACACAAATTTTCTTGATAGAACAATTACGGTGACAAAATTAAATTCAACCAATTACAAAAACAAATAATAAAACAATTCTAACAAGCGACCAGTACAGGGTGTTCCATTTAGTGGCATGTCGCCGTACGCAGGACAGGTGTCTCGCTCTCTGCCACAATAAATAGCTATTTACCAGCGACTGCGGCCTGTGGCTCTAGGCAGGAGGTGTTCTCAATTTGTCGCCCGGAATGAGATTGTCGCCGCTTTCAGTATTAGGTAAGTGGCTTTTACATTTCACTTTATACGACCAACATTGATTTTGATTTTGTTGAGCTAAGTGGTAACTGACGGTGTGGGTAGTGCTATTTATGGAAGATGTTACTAAAATGGTTTGAGATTGTGACATTTTATGTTAAAAGGATGTGGTTTGGTAGTATCAGGAAGTATGAAGTTTTTAAACGAAATGATGGTTTATATAAGAGTGGCATGAAATTATATTTAAACATTGCATTGCAAAGTGAAGTGTGTCAAGACGACCGTTAATTCCGACTATGTTTTTATAATAACTATCGTGAGACATACTAAATTAAGTAAAAACACGGTTTACTCACGCGGCGACGTCGCGCGACGTCGCCGCGACCGCGCACGCTGCTCATGAGGAAGAACCCCTCTGTGGTTCGGAACTAGTAAAGCTTTTCTCAGTATATTCACGTGAGTAACCCGCGTTTTTACTTAATTCCGACTACTTATGTATTCAATTAACGAAATTGTAAACTCCAATTGACATAAGATCATTACCCAAGGACAGGTATGACTTGGGCGAAGTAGTTATTCAGTAACGCAGTTTGAAATCTGTTTACAAGCATTACTTTTGAACTCGAAGCGTGGAACATAGTAAGAGTACATCTCTAGTTACCTTTTTGATAATGAACAGTCATACATAATGCTATGCATTACGGGACATTTTACTTTGCAAAACATAAAAAATGTGTTTACTGTGGAATACCCAAGTGTACAATTATAGACAAAGACAATTTGCGATTTTAAAAGTATTGACCTCACCTAGCAAGTAAGAATCAGGGTTGAGAGGAATCATAAATAAATATTTCAGAACTAATTGTCCAGATTTCAAAACCGAAACTCGAAAGTCACGCTCTAAGAATTAAAGAAAAATAATGCTGAGATTTCAAAGGTAAATACCTAACCGAAACATCATCAAACCCTTTTTGCATCAATATCTAGCAAAAACCTATTAGGCTAAGGGCTCACGGCAGGCGGAATGGAAGCACAATTATCAAAACTCACGAGAACACACTTTTTAGCGATCCCGCAGCCGCCGCGGTTGCGATTATCGCCCGGAAACTAGGCGGTTGATTATCACAAGACGGGCGGTTAAACAATCAGTTGTGTTCCAGACCAGCCGCCCTACTGCGGTCGCCCGTCAACCTCGGCCGCAGTCGCTGAAAATTGCTTTGATTTTTTACATACATATTCTACAAAGGCTGCGGGCCCTCAACTATAGCGCCCGCGGGAGAAAATCGAGCCGTGAATCCTTAGCCGTGAAGTAATATAATACTTGCCCTTACATGTCATCAAAAAGTCATTGAGTCTGGTCATAATGGAATACATTTGTAAGAATAACTACATTAGATACGTTACGAGTTTTATTTCAACATTTCAATAAAAAGAAAGCATTATCCTACAGCTCACCTCTAGACAGAAGGCTCACAAGATATCGGCACCAGATTGAACATAAAAAACTCAACCTAAAAACATTAAACTGTTTGGATTCTCGATTTTCCAAATTGCCTGTGAAGGAAGGAGTTTGATTTTGTGACAATATGATAATACGTTCAACCTCTATAAAATGAAATTTATAACATAACTAGATTCTTCCAGCGGCTCCCCCCGCGATACCGTGGGATGTAAATTAACCTATGTGTAATTTCAGACGATAATGTTGTGTTGTTCCAAATTCCATCCTGATTCCTTCAGCTGTTTTGACGTGAAAGAGTAATAAGCAAACTAACAAACATACAAACTTTCACTTTTACAATATTATAGTAGGAATAATGGATAATAATATGTGTCACATTGAACCCCCTTTCTACCCTTTTGCTAGATAAAAATACTAGCAGTACGTATAACAAAAGTCTCGCCCATTGTAAAATGGGAGTCATAACATAATTGGCAAAAAAATCACATTATACTCTGCCTACCTTTTTGAGAAATGAAATGTTTATTTTTAAAAACAATATTGCGCCACTATATACATTTTCTACTGCGTCGTGGCTGCGTTTACAAACGTATAGGTTTATATACCCATGACACTCAGACCCAGAATAATAATCTGTCGAGTAACACAAAGAGTTGTTCCATTATAAACTAGAAATATAAACATTACAAACACATTACCGTCGCATTGCGCTGTCGGTTAAAAAGGTACTATACTGACAGCCCTAGAACAACATCTTTATTAAAACGATATTCTGCCTTACAAGTTTTTGCCACCTTGATGACGTCTGACGGGCAGATCCTGTATTGATCGTAACAGCTGCTTAACGAACCGGTTTCAAGGTTTACCGGCACATATTCATTTTCTACGAAATTGTTGATCGAAGATGGACGTTGATACTGTGTGGAAGAATTAATATTGAAGACATTCAAAATGAAGTGCTTAGTATTTATTTGTGCTGCATCTCTGGTAACTTTGGCGACATGTGCGCCCGGAACAGGAATTAGAGGTTAGTATAATCATCCTTCTATTTTTGAACGTGAATAGTTTGTAATTGGATGATTAATTGTTCACACGTAATTCTAATGTTTTGTAGTATGATTAGGATGTGTGGTAAAATGACGCGCAAATTGGTTTTGAATTACGACTTATCTCGTGGCTAAGTGTAATAAAACAACGTTCTACAACCATTAATGGTACTTGAGTGTAATAATATTGTAGTGTTCAGTGCAAAACATCACAGATACAAGTCAATTTTACAAAGGCAAAACTCATTAGTTTGATTGCCTTCACAGTACATTGATTAGATCAATATTTGTGTTAGAAACGAGTACTTGATATCTTCAATTGTATTAATAGAGGTGCCAATAAAGTATATTTGCTTTTAAGCACTAATGTACCAAGATTATGTTTCGACGAATCGTGTAAAGGTCACTGACACTTTGTTATTCGCGAGTTGATAATACCGCAGATTTGTAAACAAGGTTATACAATTTAAAGACTCCGTTCGAGAATTTAGGACTCGGGTCTTTCCCGATAGCAAAACGAGTTATAATAAATTGTAATAACATTGAATGACTTGCTTTGTCAGTCGAGTAGTAAAAGTACCAGTACCGAGCATCATGTGTTGACTTCGAATCAATGTTCAGGTTTTGTAAATGTATAGATTATTATAAATGCACGGGCTCTTGAATTACTGGCGTACATAACAACAACTAGGATACTTTTATGTAATTACATTTGAATCTAAAGTACATATGAAGTTAGATTTTTAAAAGGATGAGTTACATTTGATATGATTGTGCATCTCTGCCTACTAATGTCATTTAGTAGTGTATGTAACTACATTATCATTCGTTTTCCACGATTACAGATAGCTCAATAATAGCATTTATTTCAATTAATCCACATACAGGCAATTTTGATACATCAAAATAGATTTTATCCGTTCTTTTATACGTCAATGAATCTATAAGTGCTATTATCAAAGTTCCATATTTGAAATAAAAAAAAAATTGCTAGATAATTGGTTCTCAAATCATTGCAATGACAAAGTATTATTATTTAAAAACCCAGGATTAACAAATACAATTAATATTTTCTCAAATCAAACTAAATCTTATCACTTCCAAACAAACAAACTCTTCAACTTCACCATGTACTATACAAAATATGAACAATTGGTTAATCGGATCTACCAATAGCCGTTCCCTAGTAACAGCACCTATATAATTTTTGTTACTAACTTGATAACTCACACAAAAAATGGATAGTAATGCAAGCAAGTGATAGTCTTTGACACGCTTATCTTTCAGAAAAGCAGTCAGCGACGCAAGATGTGACTGACAAGTTTGAAAATATCCACGCTCCAAGACCAAGACGACAAGCTTTGGATACGGTTGACATAGTGTACATCGATGCTGCAGCCATAGATCCATCTAAAGTAAATTTACAAAATAAGGAGAGAACGCATCTACAGCCAGTTAACGATGTGACCAATATCCAAAATATGTATAAGTTTCCATCAGCACCTGACTCAAAATTAGAATTGGTATCACAAAATTCCAATTTCGCAGTATACAAACTGAAGGATGGAGATGAGAAAACGCCACAAGCTTCTGACAACCAGTATTTCCGATATGACAATGGGCAGAATTTGGTCGAAGACAGGGAACCGCCACCACCACCACCAGACTATCACCATCCACCACCGCCACCACCTCCGCATCACCATCACCATCCACCCCCTCCTTATGGTTATCCTCCTCCCCCACATCACCACCACCCTCCACCCCCGCCACCTCCTGACGATTACAGATCAAATTACTATGAGCAATATAATTCCTATTATGACGATTATTATAATAGACCTCCTCCTCCGCGTGATGATAGGAGAAGTTATGATGACAGACAAACAAGGCAATCGCCAAATGACAGACCGTATCATCATGGGCCACCACCATATCGCGGTGGACCTCCTGACAGATTTTATGGTAGACCGCCCCCACATCACGGTGGACCGCCAGATCGCTTTGATGGCAGACCACCACACCATGGCGGGCCACCTGACCGTTTTGATGGTAGACCACCACATCATGGTGGCCCACCGGATAGGTTCGATCACAGGCCTCCACACCACGGTGGACCCCCTGACAGATTTGATAGGAGACCACCCCCGCCGCCATATGACGATCGTTGGTCAAACCGTCCACGGCCTCCTCCTCCTAATGATGATAGACAACCCAATGACAAAGAAAATGAAAACTACCAAAATGGTTCTACTACATCCACTACCACTACCACGACTACCACTGTTGCTCCAGATGACGATGATCAGTACCAACTCGATGTACGATTTGCTGATGATGAGAAAATGGCAACGGATGAAACGACAAAGAATGTCAGGAACCCTAAAAGGGGTGCAGTTACTGCACTACCAATTCTGTCTCGTCTATTTCAAGCCGCTGCTGTTACACCAGCCGATTGATTCTATTTTTACACATTTTTGTATTAATCAAAGTATTATTTACACCAATATATACAATTGTAACTCGTTAACTAATGATTGTTAACTCTGTTTCCTATAATTGTTAGAATTTATAAAAAATATACTGATTGAATGTTATTGCTGTTTAATTCCTCCTATTGAATTTAATCATGTTCTTTGGTATGAAATGCCTTAATGTTGAGGTTATTAATAAAACATGTTAGCAAACATATACCAACTAATTAACAAAAAAACTTCAAGAAAAGCAAATATGTTTTTTGCTAAGATGGTAATGTTTTTATCAAAGCAACCCATCCATGTCAACACTCGCTGAGTTTTTTGCTACTCTATGATTAATATTGTATGTATCATGACGTTTGAAGAATGGTACTTATGATTAGCATTAATATTTTTTGTGTTATTTACAGAGAAGCGGTCACCTATGGGCCCACCTGCGAACCGAGGACCACCAGCTAACAGGGGCCCACCTCCCAATCGAGGACCTCCTCCGAACCGAGGACCTCCTCCAAACCGAGGACCTCCTCCTAATAGAGGACCACCAAACAAGGGACCCACAGAAAACGAATATTATGATCAAGGCCCTGTACCTGGAAACAACGGTGTAACAGAAGGTTATCAAAATCAAAATCAAGTTACAAATAAACCACAAGACAATGCAAATAAGGAAGAAATTGTTGCAGTTTTGCAAGAATTTTTAGGTGACCGTTTTAATGGTGGAACTACAGGAAAACCACTAATCACTTCTGGTCCGCACTTCCCTCCAATATTTCAAGCAATAGCTGTTACTCCAGAAGAATGATCGATTTTAACCAGTTTACTATTTCCCAAGTGGTCTCAAATGAAGGCCACTTTTTTGAAAATCTTATGAGAGAAAGAGACTGAAGGAAATAGATAAACATTTAGTATCTTTCTACAAATCAACTGCCATTTTAATATTGTCATTACTTTTGTATTTAATATTTTTGCAATGTAATTGGAATTGCTTTGAACCAGATTTTAGAGAATATTTATTTATTTTTGTAAATTGTACAATTTATTTTAAAATGATAATATAGAATATTTGCTTGTGTACCTTTCTTTATCATCCCTGACACTAACAATGATATCTATTCCATTACGTAAACTTGTTAGAAACACTGATAATCACTTTAACTTGAGTTTTAAGGTTACTTCAGATTATCTTAATTCACTTCGTCATACATTGTACCATCCCCTAACATACTCGAGAATAAAATAAAACAATGAATTTAGACAAACTTAAAAAGTATACTAAACACTTTAATGTTATTCTTTACATAATTTCACTTTTGAATAATAAATGACAAAATCGTAACACATTTTCGTATCACATAATTATAAACAAATTTACTAGAAAATATCGAAAATTATGCACTTCTAGATACATATTTACATTTAAAATCACTGTTAAATATTAAATGCTGCAAAATGGTAGCACTAAAATAAATATAGATTAACAGGAAAAACAAATTATTGTAGATACAGTTTTATCCAAAGGTGGCTTTGCATCTTCCGTCGGCTGTGCGCTGGTAGCCAGGTGTACATCCAGCCGTGAAATTTTCTCGTCCTTTGTCATCTGTTGCATTCTTAGTAGTGGTTTCTACAGGCTTAACCGTAGTAGTTGTTGTTGTAGATGTAGTAGTAGATGGTGTAGTCACTTCCACTGGCCTCCTGGCTGCTGCTGCTGCAGCAAAGTCTTCCTCAGATTCTTCCTCAACAAAGAAAATGCTTGAGGCCGCATCGTTATTCTGTTGCACCTTCTTGTTATCATTAGGATGAAATAGAGACCTCACATCCTGATTAATGTTGTTAATTGATTCATGTAATTTTTGACGATAGTTTGCAATGAAATTTTGAGGGCTTCCATTAGCACTGTATTGCAAACTTAAAACAACACAAAATAAAATGGCGATTGTAAATTTCATTTTGCGAAACGTCTCTGTTCGTGTCACGTCTTATGATTATTTTCTGTGGACTGAAGTATCGAGAATGACTTCGGCTTATAAGATAACTTATTTGACCTAATAAAAATTATCTTACAACATACTCCAAGAATTGATTATAATAATACCAGTGAGCTAATGCGTCAAAATATCTTCCTTGTTATAATACTAATCTTTATATTTCCGTTCATTTTCAAAGCGCCACCTGAAAATAAAAGTTAAATTGAAAATATGGCTAAACTTTCTGACATGAAAATTACTAACCTAATTTTCGAATATTTTTATTACATAGTGTCATTAAAAAAATATTTATAACTTCTTTTTTCATTTTTGAGTAACAGTTACTTTTTAAATCGAGATAATTAATGTCACAGGTCAGAGTACTCATATCTTAATGAAAATGTGTAATTTAATGACTAAGAACCTAATTATGCTAAATTCGTCATATTAACAAAATAACAATACCTCAAAATCTCTGCCTGCAGTTGCCCAGTCTGTCACGCCTCTGTCCAAGGGGGCATTCTAATTCTGGTACTCGAATAATCTGAGAATGTTTTGTCAAATTCTCAGCCTCCGTCGTGGTCGCCATTCGTAGTTTTTCATCAATATTAAACACAACTCGTGCTTCGGTACGGATACACAAGCCCAACACCATCACTATGAGAAACAACACATATTTCGCGTCCATGTTAACGTATTGTATTGAGCAAACTACGTTGCTACTATATATAGTTATTGCGACCAGTCACCATGGTTGTCTGCACACGCCGTTAACGTCCATGTATGAGCCAGCATCACATCTTTGCGCGTTAGGAGGCACTTCTATCATTTTAGGCTGTGAATTGTCATCCTTTTTCTGACGAAATGGATCTTCTCGTAAACTACTTGTTTTAGGAAACACCTTTTCTTTTGTAAAAGTGTTTTGAAAATCTTTTATGGGATTTCCAAATATATCGAGAAGGAACTGTCCAGTGAATGATGTGCTGGCAGCACAAACTAGGAAGCTGATTAATATACTAAACACAATTAAACGTGTCGACAGAGAAGTCATTTTACAATACTAAAACATATCGGTCCTCGCTGTGCGTTTATCAGCCAACATTTACCCGGTGGCTACACAAATACGATAACATCCACAAGCCTGATGTTCATTTATCACCAATTAATTATTTGTTTATGATATTTGACATATTTTTAGACACATCGCCTAAATATTAAATCAATAATATATTACAATGTACCACTTTTTTTATTTGTATCTTATGTATATTTAAGCACACTAATTCACTAACCACTGTAGTCCTTAAATTAATTCTCAAAACGAATAGTTTTTTATATAAGATTAGCACTACAAAGCACACGGTCTACCACAACGACAAGTGTTGTGAACTGATCTTGTTCAATTTATCAAAATGTAGGTCATTCCTAGTCTTGAACCATTGATTAGATTCACTGGACAGCTTCTAAGTGTAATATTTCTTTCACACAAATTTAAGAAGTTTTAGCGACTTAATGTTGTCATGACAAATTATGGGACTTATTTACCTCCTGCACTTTTCCTCGTCGGAAATATTTAAATCATCATTATTATTTATTAAGGTCTTCCTGCACTTTAAAACTCTAAATATGGGCGTACCTTCCTCAGTTCCTCATTTAGCTTATTCTTGTCACAATCCGGATGCATATCACAATATAAATTTAGCCACATTACCATTTGTTTGTTAGCATTATGTTTATCAACATGATGTTGGGAGTATGGTTCGAGGTCAAGTAATTTTGGCTTAGTTTTTACGATGACATATTTGTCGTAGTGCTCGTTCTTCTCAAGTACAACTTTATAATCTTGATTGTCCTTTGGCACTAGCACAATGAGAGCAAGTTCAGTATTCCCTTCTGTGTTTTTCAAATAATCTAAACTCACACGTTGATCAGATTCATTTGTTATGTCAACTTCATAGAAATTTGCTTGTGAGTCCGAGTCCTCTACAGGTTTTTGTAAAACTAGACCTTGACTTGAAAAACCGAAGCAGTATAAAAGCACTACTATCAGAACTAAATTATCCATCACTGTTTTCTGGTAACGTCTGTCTAGAACTAGCCTCAGATAAAGAATATGAAGTGCCACTGTGTTTTTAATCAATACACTTCGTGCACGAGGTACCCTCTACTATAAATTGACCATTTGATCCCATTATATCAATTGACTTCTATCATTGTGTCTATTGCCAATTGACTAACAAAAATGCATGCCTACAGTATTTTACCGATGGAGTGGATCACAGTAGATTGAAAGGTCAATCAAAATGTTTAACATGTGTTTAACAACTTTCTAGAATGATACCAAATATTTAGACACAATTACTCGGTAATGTTACATAACATCACATACAAAACATCGTGAAATGATGTCTGGTGTTTCCTAAAGAAGTTGACTAGTAATAATTTGAATATGTGCACTTCTTACTAACAATATTAATTACTACCCCATTGTTTTCACACGTTTATTTTTTTCTTTCGTATTGGACTCAAAATACCCATCAAAGGAAGTCAATAGTCACACTTGTAAACACTTATTACTATCGCATTCAAACAAATGAACTCAGCACTCACATAATATACTATAGATAGAAACAAAACTAAATATAACAACAAAAGCAGCTTCACAACAAGTTGTTAAAAGTTGAAACTAAAACAAACAGCAACTCACTAATCCAGTAAGTAATAACAACCTAATTGATGATTACGCTGGTTGGATAAAGGGCTCTCATAGTTCATCATGCTGAAATCCTCGTTAGCCGCTCCCGCAATACAAATCCGCTTCAGCGATTTCATTCGTTTCGTTTCGGAACAAGATAGACCTATTTTTTTGTTGGGAAACTGACCATTTGAATTAAATTTGAAGCCTTTGCTTTGCTTCAAAACAAGTTACTTTGTTGTATTACGAGACTGGATTCTGAGTTCATTAATGTTTTAATTCATTCTTTTCTTCACAGAACTGGTTTCAAAATAAATATTATTATGATTGTCGTGCTTATTGATTGGTATTTAATTTCGATTTGTTTATACTTTATTTGTCGTAGGACCCGTTTCTAGGGACCGGTTACATTATTACCCAGTATCTGACATAAAATCGCAACAGATGTAAATATAAGTTGTACCTATATATTCCACTTTGTTATTTTTATTAATATAATTTGTTAGTATAATTTTCAGATGTATACTTTTTTTTAATTTTACCTCAAATCAGGCTGTTTTTCTGTGCTGTGGATGCTACTCCTCACACTTAAACTGTCAAACACCAAGCGGTCACCGATGACCGCAACCTATTGTTCTATAATTGTGTCTACAAAACCGGTACTCGACGAGTTAAAACCGGAATAATTTTGTGCAACACCCATAGAATACCTACACATGTTTCGTGCGGGAAAAGGATCCGCGACACGTCGTACAGCAACCAGTCATTTAGCCACAGTGCCAACTAAGCGCAGCTAAATATTTGCAATATTAATAGTTATTTTGTGCAAAGAATCAACCATTTTATTTTTTTGGGTTACTATATGATTGTTTGAATGGTCACGATACTATTGAGAGTAAATGTGACAATATTAACTCTCTGGAATTCTCATATGTTTTTTTTTATTTCTTGTTACATTTAAATACAGTTTTACACCATTTTTCTGCACCATTAAACCAAAACTGGTTTGAATTGGTACTCACATTTATTTAATATGTAATAACTAAACGAATTGATTATCTTGTGTGTGTGTGGGAAAGCCATGCTTCGGCAAGAATGGGCCGGTTAGACCGGAGTGATACCACGGCCTCACAGAAGACCGACGTGAAACAACAATGTGTTGTGTTTCGTCGTATGAGAGAGGTTACCGTATGCCCAATTATCCCCCCCCCCATCATCCCTCTCCCATTGGGGATTCAGGGATTGCCCTGAAACCCCGAACAATCCTCAAATTCCTAATTCCAAAAGGCCGGTAACGTACTTGTAACGCATCTGGTGCTCAAGGTGTCCATGAGCGCCGCCGATTGCTTACCATCAGGTGATCCGTCTGCTCGTTTACTTGTATCATAAAAAAAAATCTACTCACAATGACATTATAAAAACGATATTAGTAGCATGAAGCGTGAAAACTTTACTCTATAATTGATAATAGGTCTACTAAATTATAACGAGACTATACACTACCTAAAACGAGTTTCCTCATAAGTACACCAAAGCTTTAGTACAGTATCTACATTTACCGGCAAAACTTATGCCAAAGAGTCATTTTAATACAAAAATATTACTTGATATTAATTTATAATACAAAACAAAGCTGGTAGTTAACAAAGGCTGGTTTATACCAGCTACAATATCGAACAGAATAAAAGGACCTGTCCTGTCCTTTGACGGCGGCATTGCTGACGCTTTAGAGTGAAAAATGCCACGCATTGGCCTCACGTGGAGGCATTTCATGATTAAAATACCTACCGCCGGCTATGATATTTTAATTAAACACCACATGTTTATATTTACACAATAGATTACAGTATCATTAATATATTGGATATTAATTATATGAAATGCTTTTTTTAAATCAAACAAAACGTTTTACGTAAATTATATTATGTTCTTTTAACTGTAATATCTATTTCGTCCCGTTTTCGAGTTTTTATCATTGTTAATAGATAAGTTTAATGTTGGTTAGTCTTTTTTTACAGTCAGATATCAAAGGTAAAATATATTTAACAATTCCGAATCTGTTCAACCGTTCTCTATTTTATTGTAATTTCGTGACATCATGTTTTGCTAAACTAATGAGCCACATGGTACCTTCATTTCTCCAGGTAATATTCTAATGTACTAGGGACTGAACCTAATACTTCATAATTGTCTGAATAATACTGTTTACCATTGACCAGTACATATTATTAAACCGTCATTGATTCTAAGATACTTTCCTACTTTGTTAAAATGAGTGTCCCTGTATCCCCAACAATCCTCAAATTCCTAATACTCAAAATGCGGGTAACGCACTTGTAACGCCTCTAGTGTTCTGGATGTGTTGGCGGCAATCGGCGTCGACCATGGGGTCGACGCCGCTTCTAGCGTGGAGACCGCCAGCGCCCTCCAACTAGGTGAAATGACGACATCCGCAAGGCGGCTGGCAGTGGTTGAATGAGAAGAGCTAAAGACCGAGCTCAGTGGCGTGCCATATGAGAGGCCTATGTCCAGCAGTGGACGAATACAGGCTGATGATGAATGATGATTAAAATAATTTCAGTTGAAATAATTACCTTTATCTATTAATTAGTACACCCCTTTTTTATTTTAATTTTTTTTAAGGGGGGAGAATCATCGAATGACTGCTCCCGCCTGGGTGAGGCGGGAAGTGTCATCGGTGGGTTTAACCCTTCACTCATATATAATTTCATTCTTAATAAATCTTCTTCTTATCACTCACTTCCAACTTGTTTCTTTATAACTGCCTCGTTGTTTGAGTGGTCGCAAGTGCGACTGCCGGGGAAGGAGACTCGGGTTCGATTCTCGAGTCGGGCAAAATATTATTGGGTTTAAAAAAAATGTCAGTAGTAACACGGAGCCTGGAATATAACATACATAAATAATGAAAAGTGGGTGTTACATTGTACATTGACATTAAGCGCCGCAATATGCACCTCTGCCTACCTCTTCCAGAATAAAAAGGCGTGATGTTATGTTATATATGTTTCTTTATACATTTTCATGTATATACCTATACATACTTCCTACCCTAATATTATAAATGCGAAAGTTTGTGAGGTTGTATGTCTGTGTACGTGTGTGTTTGTCTGTTATTATTTCACGTTAAAACTGTCAAGATGAAATTTGTTTGGCTGATTCTTTTTTGTTGTGTTTGTTATTATCAAGAGAAGGTTTTAATGACAGAAAAATGTCCTGAAAATCTTATGGGAACGGGAGAAAACGGGATTGCGTGTACAAAGTCGCGGGCAGAAGTTATTTAATATAATTATGAACTAAAATCTAACTCACGATAATACCCAGCATCTGATAGCCCATTCATCATCATCATCATCATCATCAGCTAGCTACAATACAGTGACTGCACTGTTCAGTTTAATTTCAGCCATTTGTTTGAGTATTCGTACTTATTATAAAAATCTATATATACCTATGTAAAAGAAAGTCGTGTTATTTGCACTATTTAGAACTCAAAAATGACTATATCGATTTGACTGCAAACTGATGATGTGCTAACTCAGAACCAGGAGAACAACATATAATACTTTAATCGAAGGATTTCTCGAAAATCCTACGCGAAAATGGGCTTTCGCGTATGCACGCGCGACTATGGAATCGCGGACTTAGGCTAATAAATTATACAACAACAAAATAGGCAAACATTTTTATTGCACATTTTCGCTATAACATTTAATCACAGTTTAACATTAACATAACAATTTGATTACACACTGGAACTTCTATTGCTTGATACTACTGACAACTGTCTGACCGACTGTTGCTATCTGTTGCACGAACTTTAGCTTTTTGGTCCACCACATCGGGTCTTGAAATGTTTCGACTTCTTTGGCTGTAATAAAGAACAAATAAAACCATTTAACATGATTTGATTATACATTGGAAACTGATATGTCCTTTCAATCGTAATTACGTACTAGAAACTCAGATACATGACAGATAAAATAAAGTATTTCCTGATTATCAGACTACTAGATGCCCGTGAATTTATCCGCGTGGAATAGTGACTTTGGATAGTTCTTGACAGCACCTCCCCCGTAGCGTGATAATATGTAGCCTAAATGTTGACGTGGCCTGTTTGTAATATTCATGCAAAATTTGAAGTAAATCTATGCAGTACTTTTTCAGTTTAGCACAGACATACATACAGACAAACAGACAAAAATTCTAAAAACTAGATATGTTTTTGGTTTCGTTATCAATTGTGGATTTTGCGCCAGGTATTCTTTTTAAAAAATATTGTATGTACAGTTTTGACCTTTCTACGATGTTATTATAAGTATATATATATATAAGTATAAGTATTGATATTTATTTGTATGAAACATTAATCTAGAGTTGAATATTTTTTCTTTCCTTTTCTCTTATCTTAGATCATCATGCACTCTTTTTGTGTAATATCACTTATTACATAAACCATTCATCTTTCATATCCTCTTTATTATTTTAATTTTCTCTGATACTATCATACTTGTTGAATACATCCTCTTTTTACTATTGTTCTTAAAACCATTTATAAAACCCCCAAAAATCTACAAAGTCATATCACCTCTAGGGGGTTGTTGACGACGGCAAGATGTCACACGACGTAAAACTGTATCAGTTGGTTGAACCTGGAACGAAGAATTTGTCCAATATTATGATCTACACTTATCGAAAGTGTAGCAATAAACCCCCTATCGGAAGAGCTTACATGCATATCATCTAGAAACAGTCAAACGACTTTCAAGCGTGCTTTCAAAGTCTTAAGATTTACAATTCATCGCAAAGCCAATCAAAGCTATCTCTCCCAAAACTTACAAACTTACATACATATTATATTCTATTTAAGGTGATTTACGCCGCAGTTTAATTAACATACATAATTAGAATAAAGAAAGAAATAAAATATATGCTATCCATATATTTTATGTACAAAAATTGGCATATCACATTTTGGCCGATCGCATGCATTCGATAAAAAAATAAACCATATAAAAATTTGTCCATTATAAAATAATTAGGCAATTTCTAATCACACTAATGTTATAGAGGTAAATGTAAAAGCCCTTTTTGTTTGGATGTTTATTTGGATGTTTGTCCATCAATCACGCTGAAATTACTGGACGGATTATGATGAAATTTTGTATACAGGCAGGGGTATGGGCTGACGTAGTCCAAGGCAAGATTAGTAGACTGTCTATATAAAAATGAATCCCTATATCCCTTGCTCACACCATCATGCATGAACGACTGGACCGATTTAACTTTTTTTGTGTTTGGAGAAGGTTCTTATGACAGTAAAAAGAATCCTGAAAATGGAATGGGAACGGGAGTTACATATCAAGAAATACTAATCAATTTGTGAAGTTCTAAACCATTTGGAAACGCAGAAGACTGGGATCTGATGTTTGAACTAACCTCATAAATACAGTTGTAAGTCCACTGTGGTTCTTCTTCCTCAGAAGATGATGATGATGATGAGGACGACGAAGATGATGATGAAGAAGACGAAGAAGATGATGAGGAACCCTTATGTCTTCTTCTACCCTGGAAAACAAAAAATGTAAACATGAATTGCAATAATGTTGATATATCCATATCAAAAATGTTGATAAATCCATATCAAATGTGATCCAAAATCTTGCATCACTTATTTTTTTTTAAATTATCGACAACAACAAACTAATAAACGTAAATAATGGTTCAAACCAAAGAAAAATATAGTACAACTGGCAATTTTATATTCTGTAACTAAATCTATTGCACATTACAGTCGATTATGTTCATATTAAATTAAATCTAATTTTCAAGTACCTACGTATGACTATCATCATCTACAAGGGCCCCAATCCTGCTATTCACGAGCATCTCATTGAAGTGTCCATTGTGTGCCGATATAATGGACAAAGTATGATTCAGATATTATCTAGCAATCTTCGTCATGCTAACATTAGCAATATATGTGAATGAAAAAACTACCAACGTATATTTTCCTTGAATAGATAAAAGATGTATAACTCGTGTGAGACATATTCAATGAATTATGTTTTACGGCTTACTTACGTAACTATTTAATGACGTAATGTGACCAGTGACCGCGTTATCGCATAATGCTGCTTATAATTACTTCAGCCCCTGGCGTTACATGAAACTAGTCAAGTTACCCTGTCCAGTTACGTGAGTACCTAATCCATAAAAATTTTAATCAGCTGACATTTTCGTTTACCTTTTTTAGACAATGTGATCCTATATATATCTATATAAATAAAAATGAATTCCCATTTGTTAGTCTCGCTAAAACTCGAGAACGGCTGAACCGATTTAGCTAATCTTGGGAATGTTCGTCGAAGTCTGGGGAAGATTTAAAAGATGAGAAAACAAAAGGCAGTACGTAGTTTACTGGGTGAACTAGTGTCTTATTAAATGAAACCAATATGAGAACCAAGTCAACAAGGTTTACTGTCTTTGTCGTGCTTGTTTGACAAACACACAAACTTTACTTCAATGATTTTAAATGTATTATGTAAATGTAACTAAAATGTAATATGCATAAATATTAACGTTACAGTAGTTCATTCATGTTTTGTGACAAAATTGGACTGACAAATGTATGCAAAGTCTATGTTTCATGAGCAGACTATAATTTTTATTCTGTTCATTTTAATGGTTTTGCCTAATCACATTTTCTCACTTTTACAAACGACTATTTCTGATTTCTCTTGGGATTAGACGGCTCTGGTAAATAAATAACTTGTAGTTTCATGTTCAAGTTTGGATAATTGAGTCTGATGTGCCCTTTTGCATTATTTTCTTTGAAATACCTATTTGTATTTCTTTTTTAATAGTTTAATGAATCGTTAATTAAAAATGGTTCATATTAAATTTACTGCCAGACGAACAAATAAATTATGTAATGCGATTATACGCTGTTTCTCATACATAAGGAATTCTCGTAAACACATCATTGAGGTCAGGCAGGATGATAACTATTAACTAGGTAATTTGTTTATCCGGGCAATCCCTTTATGAATAATATTCTCTTGGTTTTTCTATGAATTGTTTTTTATTGTAGACAAGGAATGGTGACACTATATTGATAACTAGCTACTTCCGCGCGGTTTCACACGCTCTGCTCGGCTCCTATTAATCGTAGCGTGATGTTTTATAGCCTATAGCCATCCTCGATAAATGCGCTATCCAACACAATAAGAATTATTCAAATCAGACTTGTAGTTACGGAGATTAGCGCGTTCAAACAAACAAACAAAAAAACAAACTCTTCCGCTTTGTATAATAGTATAAAATTACCGGTTATAAATATTTATCTGTTATTGTCACAATACAGGTACACATCATCGTCCTTTTTCTTCTGTATATTACCAATGTAGTAATATACAGTTATACACACAGTGGCCAGCAGCTCATCTAAAACTAAAAACACTATAGCCATTACATGAGCCCAAATTTTGTTTGTTTAGTTTTAATGTATGACGTTATTACTTACGCCATCACAACATCCACAGCACGCGCATCCTCTGTCATTTTCTTCGGAAGAGGATGATGACGATGATGATGAGGAATCAGAGGATGATGATGAATCAGAACCGGAGCCACCTCTGCCACATCTGCTTTTCTGTAATCAAAATTAGAATAATTTGAGTTACAGTGTACCGAGTAACGTACATACAAATATATAGAATTTGGATTCAAGTGGAACTTAAAGATCCTTCTAGCGTTGTAAGAACGTTTATAAACACAGTCTTTTAAAAGCTGCAGGTGTTACGTGTGACAGACGGACAAACTGACTATATTAGGAGATTACACTAGTGTATAGTATAGTTCCATAAAGGGTTGTGTTCTCCTCTGGTGTTACGGGCTTGTGGTTACCCATTGGCGACGTCACCAATTGCTTACCATCAGGAGATCCGTCTTTCATTAACTTTTTTTTTCTAACATAACATCACGCCTCTTATCAGGCAGAGGTCTACATTATACCACTGTACAATGTAAAAGCCAATTTTCACTATTTATGTTATGAGTCCCGTGTAATAGGGGGTGAGCCAATTGCCATATACCGGGCATAATTCCAGACTCCGTGCTACTACTGAGAATTTTTTTAAAAACCCAGTAATACTTTGCCCGGCCCGGCTTTTTTTCTACGGGATCCCAAATCCTAATATTAGGATATAAACCACGCGTCGATAACGGATATGATATTTTATACACAAATATGATACCGTACCAGATGTTTAGTTGGTTATAATATAACAATAATTGGCACAAATTTGAAACCACTGATATACCGCATCCTTCACCCGTGATCTGCTCTTAATATTATTTTACGTCATTTGGCTAATATGTTCAAGGTTATTTAAATTAACAGACGAGCACTGTTCTAAAAAGAATTCCTCTGTAGTCTGGTACACTCATATGTGGTGGCAAATTCAGCCAGACACATCCAGTTGACAAATAAATGTGCTTATGTTTTTAAACTACAACTAAAACTACTACAACAACTAAAAGTACCTACAGAAAAATTACTTCTATGGTTCAAAAAGCATACAAAACTGATACTTTCGTCACAAGTCTTTCTCCGGATTTCATTTTATTTACTACCTTTGGATCAAGATAATACACATTCCACTATAGATGCAATACATTTCATATTAAATTATTAGTTTCTGTGCAGTTTGTTCAACATAGAAACCTTTTAAATACAAATACAAAATATTAACCAAGTTCTAATGAATATATGCAGCGAGCTCAATCGTTTACACTCTTAATTAGTAAACCTATACTCTGTTCCAATCCAATTTTACCTTCTTCCATATCATAAATTTATTTAACTAATAAAAACATAATTAAATAAGAATTGAAATATAAAAACAAATGATAAAAAAGCTAATTAGCAACAAAATATAGCGTCGATAAGTTATATCGCCAATACTTAGACTGTATGAGGAAAATGATAAAAAATATGCTCCTGCGTATATTATGGTACTTACACAACATTGGTCACATCGTGAACGGGAACCACTGAAATAAGAAAAAAAAAACAAAATATAAATAGAAGTATTTTTTAGCTGATTAATGTCCAAATCACTCTCTGGTATGTTATATTAGAGGCATATGTCTAAAATATCATAAACATTTTCGAATTAAACATTATTGAGATCTAATAGTTGTATTTCTGTCATTATTTGTCAATATCCTACAACAATTACTTCAATGCTACATTTTACCTGATCTGCAATAACGGCTACAGTCTATAAGTAATAATCATTTAACTCGGTAAAGCTGTTAAAACAATGATAGTCCCCATTTATCGAGTGCAATCCCAATTCCAATCTTAAAATGGGGAACAACACGTAAAAACGCAATTACACTTTGCTCGCTGTGGGAATTAGACGCCTTAGGAATCGAGACTGGTGTGCCAGATTAGCGGTTGGTAGAAAAACTTTTGCTAAGGTAAAATGTTCAGTGTTTGTCTGTGTTACTTACCAAGATCTCGCTTCTGTTAACGCCAGAACTGCTATTGTTACTAGTAGGAAGATCAGAGCTTTATTCATCTTGATAATATCTCTGTAATATAATACAACATAACATGATGTTTATTAATTTCCAAAGAACTTTTGTAGACTTAATTATCGCCTACTGTCGACAACGGAACTTTCAACGAATGCATGCAAACTACAAATGACGATAGGCAAATGCAACGTTACTACTTCATGGATAGATTTTCTTATTTCTAAACAAGACAAAAGCATTTGTCACTAATTGTAAGCCGCCTAGTTGTCATTGGTAGCATGCATTCGTCAAATGACGCGTTGTGTAAGGCCTATCAGATATTATTAGATACAATTCCAGGGTCTGTTATTGAGTAGATAATTTTATTTGTTTTATTTTAGGTTTGTAAACTAACAATAAGTCGAAAACAAACCCTGAAAGAGTGTCTAGGAAAATGCGGATATTTTCGAGTTTATACTGAAATGTGTTAATTAATGAAATTCATTATAATTATCCTTGCTATCTTAATCTATATGGACTAACTAGGAATGTCTAAGTTGGGGACTTGGTTTTTTATGGGACAAGCCGATAAACGAACAGATGAATCACTTGATGGTAAGCAATCGGCGCCGCCCATGGACACCTGAAACACCAGAGGCGTTTCAGGTTACAAGTGCGTTACCGGCCTCTTGGGAATTGGGAATTTGAGGATTTCGGGGGATTTGAGGATTGGGGAGACTGGGGGATTTGCATAATTACGTCCCATGTTCTATTAAGATTACTAGGTAAAATTAAAAAGAAATCGTACTTACCGAATTTCCTCAAAGCAAATCAAATTATTTTGTTGAACTTATATTACACACAGAAACACTTTCTCTCGGTCCCAAAGATTTGCATCAACTGAATGCTCTAGGTATCACAATTATCAAATTTAGGTCGAATTTACTTAACTCCTAGGTTCAAGTCAATAAGGGTCAAATAAATACACTGATATTGCGAAATGTCGCCCTCAGAAACCAATCTATACGATCTCAATTTACAAAATACACAGTATCTTAGTATCTTCGCATTATATATATTTTCGTGTTCCCGTTATCAATATTATGTTGTTATTTTTAAGGTCAAGTGGCAAATGAGACCTTTGGTAATATTTTGACATGTATTTAAATATGATTTTAATAAATACATCTTTAGTTTAGTGTCAATTTGCTATCTTCGTATGGGGTCCATTGAGAATTATTCTTATTACTTTAAAGTACGTAGAATATCTTCAAAGGCCTTTAGTTTCTACGTCGCCAAGTTAAATACACTTGTACTCAGTTATCTATATAAATATTTACAAATCGCACTTATCTAATGTATTCGAAGAATCCTCTTATCAAAATAATAACATTATACGTTCATTTTAAACAAGAACTTTGATTAATCAATTGTTATATAAGTTAAAGTTCACTTTAACTGGAGATTACTAGATATTTCTTAGAAACAGTAAGTAAAAAATGTGTTGTTAGGGAAAAAGAATGCTTAGAATTAGCTGCAGGTCATTCACTGGGAAGAATCTGGAATAGTTCGAGAAAAATGTGTAGGGCAATTCTAAAATAATTCGCCATTGTCAAACAGTTTTTAATTGTATTGACATACAACTGATTCACTTCGTTGCAGGAACCAATACAGTTACTCATGTTCCTGGGACGCGCCAGACTTCAGTGTTCCGGTGTTTTCATGGTTGTATCCACTGTAGATCTTGGCTTACAGGAGTTGCAGCGGTTTTGGGAGGTTGCGGCGGGCTTGTCTCATTAAAACTAAAATACAACTACTATTCATGTAAATTGACATAATTATTAATAATGTAGTTGCACTTACGATAAACATTAAAGAGTAGGTAGCTTTTGTTGAAGTAACTTTTCGGAAAAACAACTATGCTTCATAACTATTTGAAATGTATAATGCCTTGGTTTTATGACTGTAATGTTATACTATTTAATTGAAATAAATAAATAATAACAGTAAAAGTAGGTACATCTTATCTGACTGCCTCGTTGGCCGAATGGTCGAGACTGCCGGGCAAAGAGTCTCGGGTTCGATTCCCGGGTCTGCTCGGGTACTGGGTGTTTGTTTTAAATTCTCAATAGTAGCACAAAGTCTGAAATTGTGCCCGTTATATGGCAATAGGCTCACCCCCGATTACATGGGTCTCATAACATAAATAGTGAAAAGTGGGTGTTACATTGTACAGTGGCATTAAGTGCCGTAATATGCACCTCTGCCTACCCCTTCGGTGATAAAAAGGCGTGATGTTACATTAATATACATCCAACTATGTCTATGACATGACCCAAGGTCTCCTATAAGACGTATCTTATACTTAAATGGACAGTTTAGTGTAACTGGTTAACTAAAATACCTAGTGATGATCAAAATAAAAAGCTATAGGACACTCAGATTACTTATACAGATGTCCGACTCCCTGACCATGTTCGCGGTTTTCCTATTCTACATCAGTATTGTATACGCTCAATTCACTCAGCTTTATCAGGATTATTCGATAAACGGTCCACAGTCAGCGAGAAAACAAGCTCCTTACACAAATAGGGGATTTTAATATCCTTAAGTAGTGATGATACTGGCCTCTCGTATAAAAGACTTGCAAAGTAATCCACAGAGGGCGCGCGGCTATCGCACGAATCTGCTTGAGTCATCTCATCCTTTTCAAATAAATAGGGTCCGAAATGTCTGAGAGCAACGTTTTATTTTTTATCCATAATTCAATTGCAAACACATTTTTAAAGGGTTTATGTTGATGTCTTCCTTGTTTTTTCCTCTTAGATAATGATAAGAGTTGTGAGCTTTGTCTAATGTTGATACAGATTAGTGGTGTTTTCATAACAGTCATTCGTCTAATTGTTGATAAAGTGTATAAAAACAAAGTTTAATTAAATTGACCTCAGTTATTCGCTTTTCGTGCAAATATTGCATTAATAAAATTGTGGCCGTGAATTTTCCTGCAAGATAAATCATTTCCAACCCTTTCCAACGGCGCAGACACGGAAACAGTCATTTGGAAAATTCAGCAGTGCAGGAAGCCATACGTCACATTAGGCACGCCGCTCACAGAGCAAAGTGTTCCCCTGAATGTGTTCGTGTTCTGTTCCGCTCGCACCACTATATCAAACTCATTATCAAACGCCCCCAATGTACGCAAATAAATCGCTTTTATTGCTCAACTCGCACTCATTGAATTTACCTTCCAATACTAAACGTTACGTACTCTCAGTAAAATTATGAACCGGTTTAAAACTTCTCGATGAAGTGGAGTTCGAAAATAGCATTATAAATTCACCGGTTTACAATCACAGCGCTACTTGGCGAAGGCAAAAAACCTTGGCGGGAAACTCGTTCTAACTTTTCCTATTTTTCTGCGTTAATTTCACCTGAACCCATTACACTTTGCAACAATTCTTAGTGAGAACGTTTCTATTAGGCTGTTCAAATTGCATTTTAAATGACTTTCCGAGACTTCGGGAGGACATCTTGGAGACCTTTCATGTTTGCTGATTACTTGTTATTGGTTTGTATCGACATTATTTTTTAAGACTAAATATTCAAAAAGCAATCTTCTTTATAATAAATTCGTGCGAGGTGGTCTAGAGATGAAGCTAAATGACTCGAATCACAGAAACTAGTTTGCAAACGTCACGCTTCGTTGTGCTACCAAAGATACTATTCTGGTGTAACCTGCCACGAACTCTAGTCGATCTTCTCACAAAAAGACAACGGCGGAGTACTTGAAAGTATTTATGTTATGCAAATCTAAGAGCTGGAGTTAACGGCAGGTAATCATACCGTACCCATAAGGATGAGACGTGGAAAGTACCTAAAGCGTAAAAGTAGTATCCAAGTTGAGCAATGAAATGTTAAGGATGAATAAGTTAATTGGCCCCCGGGGCGTATCGGCGGGCCCTCCTGTGGCACAGAGGAATGCATTTAAATTGGATTTTAAGAGTAGAAATCACCGGCGTTCTCTCCGCCTCTCCCAGCCTTGTTAGAGCCAATCTCAAAGTTTACGTAAACGAATAAACCTCCGCCGTGAAACCGAATTTATCGGTATCCATTCAAACTATATTTATCTATGATCGGTCGTCCATTTAAACGAATTGCAAAGCGGTGCTCGAAAAGCTATTTAATATTAACGACTTCAGTATCGATTGCTTGTGTCTTCATTCACAATTAAATATTATAGTTGTATCAACATAATGACTCCAAGATTAAAGAGCGTGTGACCTTTACGTAAACCCAGATAACAGGAGTTAAGATAGAAAAACAAAAGTACTTAATATATTGTATTACTTAATAATTTTTGATGTGACACCACTTAATCGTATCGGACTCTCTACAATGTCCTAAGGTGAATGACCGATTATACTTTAAAGGGTCGCCTATTAAAGTTGCAAATACATTATTATTGCAATTGTATTACCAAATATAAAGCTATTAAATGAAGAAAACGAACCAGTCATCAGTTGGAAGATATCAACAGTTTAGTTAATAAGATATTAGGTATACTCAATCCTTAATCTATACTTACATTATAAAGCTGAAGAGTTTGTTTTTTTGTTTGTTTGTTTGACCGCGCTAATCTCCGAAACTACTTGTCCGATTTAAAAAATTCTTTCTTTTTTAGATAGCCCATTTATCAATGAAGGCTATAGGCTATAAAATATCACGCTACAATTAATAGGCCGAGCAGAGCGAGTGAAACGATGCGGAATTAGCTAGTAAATAAATAAATGAACACAATACAGACATTTATAATTATCACATATTTTAATTAGAATTACATAAAACACTGAGTAGGACTTACAACGAGAAAAAAAGCAATAATGAAGTACTAAGAACCATTTCGTATTTGGAACATGAGCGATAATTACGCAATAACAGCAAACGTTTTAATTACTTCTGCTGCAAATATTGAAATAATTAAGTGTTGATAAATTAAATGGGAGAGCTCTTGTAATATAACGCTGTATGTAAGGACTTTCAGGCATTTATTTGTACGTAATCATTACAGACTAAGTGGAATGAAGGATTTGTATTTAGTCGCTGAAACTCGCTTCAAACGAATTACCTAAATAAAGGCATTAATTAATAGCTCTGATTGGATATTTTATGAGACCTATTTCCAGCTATTTTCGTGCCTATTAAATTATGTAATATTATCTGGTAGTAATGAGTCTACGGCCCTGCTCACGTTGCTGATAATTAAAGTCTTAAACGTTAATTCAAGTCGCTTTTGCGTACTTGAGTAGCAAAGTTTTCCATTTTTAAAGTACATTTAAGTTCATTACACATAACGTCACGCTTTTTATCCCCGAAGGGGTATGCAGAGGTGCACATTACGTCACCTTAGGCCACTGTACAATGTAACACCCACTTTTCACTATTTATGTTATAAGTCCCACGTAATAGGGGGTGAGCCTATTGCCATATACCTTGCACAATTCCAGTACTCCAGACTCAGTGCTACTACTGAGAAACCTAGTAATACTTTGCCCGACCCAGGAATCGAACCCAGGACCCCTTGCCCGGCAATCGCACCTGCGGCCACTCGACCAACGAGGCAGTCAATTTCATAACATTCAAAATTCATTACATTTTTTTTTAATTTGCGTTGACCCACTCTAGGATTTTGTCCTACGTCGTGGGTACGTTTACAAACATACAAGATCACATACACATAATGGGTGTTAACCCAGACGCAGAACAACAATCTGTGGATCACATAAAGAGTTGTACCGTGCGGGAATCGAACCCCCGACACGTTGCACGGCACCTAGTTACCCAGCCACCGTGCCAACCGTGCAGTCTAATTTATAGTTATATCGAAACAGCATACAATGATAATCTTAAAGATCTCCTTCTCAGTAAGAATATGGTCTATTAGACTACGGATCATTGAACAAACAGTCACTATTAATAAGCTGTTATATTTTGAACTAAAATGTCGTAGTGACCCGGAGGTTAAGACGACCCGCTTCTCTTGCATAAGGTTGCAG